AAATTGCGAAGTGATTTTAGCAACCTTAATGGATGCAAGGGCACAAAATTTTCATGTCTTACTTCCCTGTTGTATTTTTGCGGAATCTATCCTTCTCTAGTAAGGAGAAATCTTTTTGATTTTATCAATTATATTTATTAATCTACTTTCAATATAAAGTGACTTTGAAGGAATTTGTCCTCCAAACCACCTTCTACTAAACTCCATAATTCCATTGCAAAAAAAATAATCACAAAAAGGATATTCATAAAAAAAAAAAATAAAGTAACTGCAAAAAAATCAATATCTACATGAACTCAAAAAAAAAAAAAAGAAGAGAACAAAAATTAAAGAGAAAATAATTCTTTCTTGTCTTAATAAAAGTAAAAAACAAAAATTGGTACTCTTCAAAAATGAAAACCAAAAGAGTAGTTTGAATAAGATAAACTAGTTAAGCAAAGTAAACATTGGTTAAGGATGAAAAAATAAATAAAAATTAGATGCGTAAATTAAGCAAAAAGCAAAAATATAACTTTATCTAAGAAAATTAGATCTACCCAATGAAATAATGATAGTATTGTGACCTTGACCTTTGTGAAAATTTTAATGAGTTTAATTTTCCAATCATTTAAAAAATCCAATCAAATTAAGAAAAAAATTCAAATTTTCAAGATCAAAGGTCATCAATAATATAAACCAATGAATGATGAGGTTTGAGTAGCATGGATGGTAGGAGGTTTATTTTAAAGTTAAATGAACCAATGAAAACATACAGTGGGTGGAGTCTTGGGGTTGACTGACAAGTGAGTCACATCCAGCGGAAATAAGACGAGTAAAATCATCCATATGTCGAATAGCTGCTGCCAACAAAGTCCGGGAATCAGGATCTTCACTATCAGATGGCTGCCAATAGGAAACCAATCAAAATTGTTCATTATTTCAAATCAACCAATCAAAGTTATTCATTATAAATAACCAATCAAATTTGTATATTATTCAATTTCAAAATATCAAATTTGATAATAGACTTTATCAATTAAATATTAGTTTTACACCAGACAAGCCAAAATCATCTTTATAATATTACTGAATTTAAAAATTTAAATTGAGAGAAATAGTAATGATTGATTTAAAAATAGTCACTATGGCAACATAATTTCCAGGACAACAACTGACCTCCGACATTGTTCTGTATTCATCTAGTGGAAAATTCAAATATGTTGACACAATTTTTTCTCTCTTGATCAAAAGTTCGTTCATCTCGTTGTCCGTGCTCTTCATTTGTTCTGTGATGGAACCATGATCATATGTTAATTAAAAAACAAAGGAAGCGAGCCATGCACCTTTAATACCTCCTTATATGGCAACCAATTCAAATCATGCCCATATAAGGAATAATGATGGTTATTGGCAAGTTAGCAGCAGTAAAATAGCAAAGCTTTGGATCTAAGATTATAAGATTGGGCTAAAAATAGCCACTGCAATTTGGATTCAAACTGCACACCTTCTGTAGAAGATTGTAAACCAATTTGACGGGGAAAAACAACATGGGAGATAGTATAAGATGCTGGAATGGTTTAAAATTAAGATTTAGAGGAAAGAATGGGAAGGATTAAGTTGATGAATTATTCTAAATTATACATTGGATGATTTGTATAAAACTATGGTTCATTTAATTTTCATAGGGTCGCATTTGACCAGAAAGAAATGAAGTTTTTGCGTATTTTTAACATTTCAAGTATACCTAACAGTTATAATCTAAAGTGACTATTTGCTCGTGAATGATCCCAAGAAATTAACATAAAATAACATTTTTCAGAAAGTTAAGATAAATTAGAATAAAAAAAATCTGTACAATATGATTTAAACTAGAAACTTGATGAAGGAGTCTACATAGTCATGCTCTACAGGTTAGTGGGATGATACTGCTTCCTGACAGCAGATGTAGCCAGTATTCTTGGTGATAAAAATTAATAAAATTAGGTTAAATTGCTTTTTTTTAAAAAGAAACTTGTCTTACGCTTTGCTCTTTTGATATCAATTCCTCTGCTTTAAAAGCATTGTGAAGAAAAAAACATGCAATGTGACAAATATTTTTCAAGCACATTTCAGTTCGCCTTGGTTGACAAACATGTGCACGGCATGCCAACACGTTGTGACTTTTCGACATTTTCGACACATAAGTGAATAAATATTGTGATGTTATTTACGTAAAATCACAAAACAGACTTACAACATCAAAAATAAACCAAAAAACAATAAAGAACAATCCCCGTCACTTAACACTGATATTTGTATTTTTTTGTTTTTAGACAAAATTGCGGTCAAACTTTGTTATTTTACTGCTGCTGTTGCCATGGTAACAGTGATGTTAGTTATCATACTGTTAGTAGCCATGGAGACCAAAGTCCATTTTTGGTTTCCATGGCTACTATATTTCAATAAGCCAAGATGATGGATGGATATTCATTTCTCAAATCATAAATAATATATATATATTCATTTGTGCAAAAAAGAAATATTGTGAACATATGAAGCAAGTTTAAATAATCAAATGCAGATATCATAAAAAATATTCAAATATTCCATTTCAGCCAATCAAAAAAGTTTTAACAATTTCTTAACCAATGAATAATAATCTTACATTGTATGTTGAGAAATGAGCCTGAAGATAAAAATTAGAGCAGAGCGGTGCTTTGCATTCATTGCAAATAAGGTCAAGGGGCAAATCTAATAGGGTCAAACATTCTCTAAAAGGTCATGGTCATGTCAAGGTCATTTACACATCAATCAAACCCATCAAAATTTACAGATTGAAAATTCCCTGACTTCAAATCAGAATGTTGTGAGATTTCCATGAAAGGAAACCTATATCATTTTGAAGAAATTATGTACATCATATAATTTTCAATTCACAACCACAAGAAATCAAGAAAAAATAACTCTACACATCAAACAAAACATCATCAACGCTGCGATTTTCTAAGCTTTGAAACAAAAATATCTACAGGCCTATTTAAAAAGATTGATTTGTTTTCATTCTAGATGTGAAATGCCGTAACATAGCCATTGACCTATCAGCTTGCTTGAATAGTCTTGCGGTTAGTATAGTAATTTGACATTAGTTGCGTTAAGCCGTGATTTTTAATGTAGGATGAAAGCGAGGCTGAAATCAAATAAACATTCTCAAAGATTTTTTTTTTATCTTCATAAAGTATCAATCTGAGTTTTTGCTGCTAACTAATGCAGGATTCATCTGTGAATTCCCAGGACAGACTCACGACAAGATCTTTGGATTGATAAAATAGTAAAACATTGTTTCAACAGTGAGTCTATCCTTTGGTTTGTTTCAACAGTGAGTCTTTCCTCTGGTAGCAGTATATAAAAGCTATGACTCCTAACTAAAGCAGAATGCCTTAATGACAATGCTATTGATAATTCCCCCAAAATATCAAATGATAAAAGTGTATAAAGAATTTGGAATGAAATTTCTTTCTTTTATACACAGAAGTACTGGTAATCTTTTTCAGTTTTAAAGACTTCTGACACAGAAATGGTTTTAATCTATAAATAAGAGGACTCTTAAAGAGATACTATCTCTTAGAATGCACATAGAATTGAACTTCTCAAATTTGGCCAACAAGAGTTTATATTCATTAAAGGAATTACCTGGTGTCAGAATCCCTATATACTTTGATAAATCCATATAACAATGTAATTGATTAAAAGCGATTTTCAATTATTACTTAGTTTTAACCCTTTCAACCCTAGTGACTGGTTTACTGGCCACACACCAATGTAATATATACCCGAATATATACCGGCCGTTACAACGTGACGTCACACAACATTAACATCATACGCTTTTACTTTTTTACTTGGAGTTCAGGGAATATGACGTTTTATTTCATTTACACTCAGGGTTTAAAGTTTTATAGAGAGGGATTCTGTTCTATAGTTATGTCATTGGGAAGGTAAAATGATGAATTTATTCTCTTATTGGCCAAGTTTGAAAATCTAAATTTCATGTTCATTCTAAGAATTAGAATTCCTTTAAATGAAGACTGAAGAGCCCAAATTTATAATCAGACAGATACTATAGAACAAGATTAAACTAGACATAACTTACCTAATGGAGTTAGAACTGGTTTCGACTGAGCGACAACTAGATTCGAAACTTTGACATCAGTTGGACGAGCCAGTTCGGGTTCCGTTCTGACTTGTGCCGTTTCTAAAATTTCAGAATCCTCACGCTGTGTTGTGATGTCCTGGTTGTTGGTTTCTGCATGCGAAATACGTTCTGGTGGACGCCTAGAATAATACAAACAAAAATGTGAGTTCCCTGTACAATACCAAAAGAAACATCATAATAATTGCCTTGTACCGATGCCAAAAACACAAAATAGTACTGTATCTCGTTCAAAAACAATGAATATAAAGAGTCTGACAGTTATTTGAGCCTTTTTTCAAATGCATAATTTAAAAACACTTAAGGAAAGCTCATGAGAATAGAGTACAAAACTTAGAGTCGGGTCACACTAAATTCTTTCTTACTCTATATAAATGTAAACATCTCAATTTATCCAAATCTAATTCAATTAAAGATGGGTTTCCTTATTTTTTTTAGTGTCAAATTAAGCAAACTATTTGATTAATTGCTGTTTCTAATGAATCAGTATGTATTCTTTATCATATCGTTATTTTCTTATATTGCATAAAATTTAAGTTTTAACCAATCATAAATGTCCATGTATGTACAGTCTGGATAAACTAAAAAATACTTTTTGACCTTTCTGGATCGGTCACTCATCGGAATTCTCTTCTACTTTAGCTAATTATGAATTAATTATAGACATGTGAGACAAACTGGTATTTTTCCAAGTTATTAGAACACCTCTACTTTCTATTCATATAAGTATTAGCATTTTCATTTTCACAAATGAAAATAAGGGAACCCATCTTTAAAACTTTTAGTTCTACTTTTTAATCATTACAATTATTTAATATCAAGATTTGGAAACTTACCTTGTAATTTTGCTTCTTATTTCTGTTATTTCTTCAGGTTGTGGCGTTGTAACGCCAGCATGTGATTTGACAGGGGTTGAAGATGCTGCTGGCTTCTGACTTTTCTTACTCTTGCAGACTTCAGCCCAGGAATTAATATGATTATGCCATGTTTTACGACTTGTCTGGTTGTTAGCTATTAACTCATAAATCTGTGGACCTGCTTCTGATGTATTTATCACAAAAAATGCTTTTTTATCTGTAAAATGTGAGGAAATGATTTAATTTTGATATGTATTAGATCATTAAGGACCTGCCATGTCGTGCCAATACAATAAAACACCAAAAGTCAACTGAATATTGAGGGTACAATTGACAAATGATACACACATCTAAAATACAGGCACTTTACATTTGATAGGCTATTACAAATGAAGGGAAAAAATACTTTTAACAAGGAAAATAAAACAAAACAAAACAAATTCTTAAACATCACTTTGAAATAGAATGCATAATAAATAACATTATTTTCCTTGCTTACTTACCAGTTGCAACATTCCGAGAGAGTAGATTCTGTAATTTTAATATTGGACTATGTGTATAGCCTTTACCAGCATCAGTTCGGCCAGTTTGTGTTAAATCAGATTGGTTATGTACATTTAAACTTTGACATTTTAAGATGAGTTTTTCGTCTTGTTTTTGGAGTAGAACCAATATGTCCTCCAGTAATATAACGTGCATGTCTATTAATCTATTAGGTCTCAGTCTCCATGTTAGTTCACCTTCATACACTAATTTATGTTGAGGCAAATCTAAATTCTGAAATGTTTAAATATAAATTATTGAACATGTGTTTAAAGGGAAGGAGTTGGGAGCTGACTTCTGAAGGACTGAGATTTGATTGACAGGTGTTAAAATAATAACCTACTGTAATAAATCATTTGATATGAATAAAGGTTAAAAAATCTGTCAAATTCTAATTGCAGAATGATGATTATTTGGTAGAAAAGCTAAATTAATTTAATACATTCCACTTTATTATTCATCTGGATCACTGAAAGGTTTTGACCAGCTCTGTCTAGTTTTCGCTATTAATAAATGAAACAATGTCAGCCATTTAAACAATAAATCTGTAAGGATCAATGCCAAGAGGTTTGTCCAAGAATCAGCTGGTATACAAGATAATCAGTCTTTAGCCTTGTAAAACATGTCTGTTAAACTTTCTTCCTTACAGCCCATACCTTCATGTCCTCATGAACTTGTTTACGTTTAATTTCTTGACTATCTTGAGGAATCTTCTTTTCCATTTTCTTTTGTAATATTTTCAATCTCTGATGATTTTCAAATTCTTTCACCGATTGATTCACCTCTGCTAAAATTTCTTTAGTTTTTTGATGTGCTAAAGTTAATTTTCTATATTCATCAGTATTGGCTGAAATTGATAGAAATTAGTTAGGGTAGCTGATGAATGTTTTGTATCAGAAATGTTTTCTATGATCAAACATTTATAAATTGTGAATAGGTATTCAGTCAGTAGAGTGGTGCTGTCAATAGAATAAATCATTCCAAATTAAATTATGCCCCTCAAATGATGTACGTTATGACACCCTTAACGGCAGTAAATGATACAAACTATTTGAACCAAAACTATACTTACTTTGTGTATATTTAAGAAGGTTTTCTATTAATAATGGGTATTTTGTTAAACGTTGAAATTGAGTTGGAACTAAATCTTTTAATTGGAGACGTCGACATAGAGGATTACTTTCAGCATCCTACAATATATAATATTGGAAAGTTGTGATGGTTTACCACATGGAAAGAGTATTCTCTTTCTAATATTTCATGACAATAACTATATTTTCATTAATAAAGAATCATTTTAACTTGTTAATTACTATTAAAGTTAATGCTATATCTAATTCAGCTATGGATTACGCTTTATAACATCTATTAATGAGTTTTCACGATGTTTGACATTTATAAAACTTACATTGAGAAATTGAGATAACCGTTGTTCCTTCCTCTGTTGTTTTTTAAGAGCATCGAGAGCGAAAGATTGACCACGGCAAAATGTTGCACAATTATTCTTAAATGTTTCTCCCTCTTCACCATCAAACTATAAATATATAATAAAAAAGATATCACATTACAAATATTCATACAAAAATTCTATCTTAACAGCTAGCATTCTGAGCACTGAAAACTTTGTTCAAGCACAGCTAGCATTCTGAGCACTGAAAATTTTGTTCAAGCACAGCTAGCATTCTGAGCACTGAAAACTTTGTTCAAGCACAGCTTCTGGTTAACCCTTACTTGGTATCCTTTCAACACTAGTAGCTGCTCTACTTGTCTTATAATTATGTCATATACATGCATATCAAAACAGCTGGTGAAGTGGCCTTTACCAAGTAAATTCACATAATATTAACATCATACACTGTATATCATACAAGATATATTACTGGGAGTTCAGTATTTATGACATTTTATTTTATTTTGTTTTGATCTTATCTTAAAACTCATCAATATTGTATGGCCTAAATTTTTTTACCCTTTTGAAATAAAAATATTATTATTATTATAAACCAAATCCTAGGTCTGATGTTACTCACCCGTTTTAAAAATATATTTCCTACTTCACCTATAACAGGATTCTCTTTACGTACAGATTTTAAACTATTATTGAAAGAACCTGCAATGGAAAAAAACATTCTTGTGTACCGAACAACTTCTGATGTCTCAGTCAATGTAATAATCTAACTGTTGGTAATCAGTCATTATAATGTGGAACCTGTTACCCATTGCATGGTCTCCATGACAACTTGAATTCCCAGGTTATGATGTGCAAACATTGACCATAATATTACTGTAAAAATTGAGTCCAACTTGTCTTAAAGTGCGCCTTGAGAATGAGTACTACTTAACAAACTTCAGTAGGGATATCAGCTGAAGTAGGTCAGTTGTCTAAAGAAATCTGAGTAACAACATGTTCCAGGTTCTACATAACATACTTTTCAAACTACGGTTGGGACGCAGGCTGAAAAAGGTCAGTTGTCTGTAGATCGAACGGCATGAAACTCTGAGTAACGTGTTTCAGGTTCTGTTTTAATAATTCTAAAATGGAGAAATAAAAATGAACTTACTATGTAGTCTAATCATTGAATGAATATTAGGTAAAAGTTGTTTGGCTAAATCACTGGTAGAAGTTTCTGCTGCCATTGGACGAAAGAATAATTTATCTAATATCTTTAGATTACGAACATGGGCTCGTTCTGTATGGACCAATTCTGAAATAGAAACATTTAAAATGGATTATATAGAAATATAGGTTAATGCAAAAGGACAGTTACATCAAGATTTGGTATAGTATCAATCATGCTGAGACCTATTTGACAAAATCCTAAGATTTCTGATATATTGGTCAAAAAATTAATCTGTTTTCTTAACCAATCAGATAACTATATATCTTAAAATCTATAGCTTATGGGAATGTTGATATACTAGGATATCCTTTTAATGTTTGATATTGGTTTTCTTCTCTCTGAGGCAATCAGTTATAGAGAAATCTGCATAGAATTGTATTGTACATGAAGAAATTGAAAATGTAAAGAAAATACCATTGAGAACTTCTTGACGTTTCTTTTCTTTAGGTTTTAATTTGCGTATCCCTTCTTCTCCCACGATAGATTTTAACGTCGGTAGGTCGTTTTCAACGTCAAGATCAGAATCTGTCTGTTCCTCGGGACGTAAATCTGGCGGCAAATCATCGGCACTCTCTACATTATCAGCACCCCTATAAAGCCAAGTATGACCTCTACACATTCGTCATACAAAAATCAAGATTAGTACAAACATTCTGGACAAATTTTAACACAGTAGAAACATGCACAACCAAAATAAACTCATGCAGAGGAAAATAACTAAATACAGAACTGAATAATTTAAAATATATATAACAGAATGAGAGAAAAACTATAGATAATTTTAGAAAATTCTTTAAAACTTAAAATTAAGCAAAATAAAATAAGATGTATATTTATATAGATAGACTATATATAATTGACAAAGGCTGAAAGACTATTCTTGGAAAAGTAAAACAAACAAAATAAAATGTAAGGATTTATATCTATACATTTATAGACTTAACAGGTACATCCATATTTACATAGAATAGTTGAATAAAGATAGGCTATGACACCAAAGAGAAGAGAAAACTAGAATATTCAGACAGAGTAATTAGTATATTTGTAATTTTTTATATACCTAGGCTGTTGCTTTGGAACTTTTGGCATTAAGTTTTTTTCCACCATGTTATCAAATTTAGGTCATGGCAATCAATCTTTATTTCCCAGACTGGTACAAGTACCAAATACTTCTAAAACATCAGCCTTGGTATTTACGTTTTGATTCAATTTGATTCACAGAGATTTAGGGCTCAAGAAAGCTTGGAATGCCATTCATGAACATATTTTTATCTCTGAAAGACCAGTCTTCTTGATATGACAGTGGAGCATTGTTTCATGCTTTTGGCCACTGATATAGCTTTAGTGAAGAGAGTTGATTTTGAACCTTTTCCTTTCAAGACAGAAATAGCCACAATTTTCAAGGTTTCCAAGAGCAAAGGGAGATAACTTACAAGCTAGAGGTAGATGAGCTTCCTGATTGGTTGAGAGCTTTAATTGTTGAATCATCCACATCAACGTCACTTTTACTACGTTTTTTAGAATCTCGATCTTTTTTCTAAAAAAAAAAATTCTCATTTTAAATCAAATTCAATGTGATACTGTGATTGATCAATTTTCAATTGGCACTGATGTTCAAATCTCTATTTCTGATATAACAACCATAATTCAGAGATCGGTTGGATTGAAAATCAAAGTTAATACTTACGTCCATTCTACCTTTCATACTTTCAGATCTACCAACTTCTTTTTTCCTGTAACATCAAACAACCCAATAGGTTACTTGTAGGTTACTTGTAGATTATGGATCAGTAACATATGGGAATACTAAGCAAGTGTGGAACAATACTGTTAATATTAAGGATAAGGAATTATCATGAGCCTTTCAGTGTCAATGACCCTAATCAGATGAAAAAGGTGAGATGCCCTCTTTCTTATTCCTTGAAAATGATGCTTTATAAACCTTTTGAACATAAGCATAACAAAGAAATTTTACTCTGAGATACCTTTAAAATTTGACACCAAAACTTGATCAATTACCAAATAATTATCATTTGACTTACTTTTTATTTTTATCTTTTGTATCTTCGAGTTCATCTTCCTCACTTCCGGGTGGTTGTTCTGGACTGGGTCTCTCATACCGATTGACTATCGACTTGACGGAGTGACCAACTGGAAGTCCCGCTATGAATTGAAGGGTATCAGCTGAAGAATCAGTAAAGGGGAAGAACTCTGAAGCAAGCCCACCAACACCACAAACCTCACAATCAACGCACAGACAATGATTTCTTCATACAGTTTGGATGCTTTACACTCATGTAAGATTGTTTTGGTTTTTTTTCGACTGAAAATCTTTGTCAAAATATCATTTCAAATCTGTAGTTCAGATATTTATTCTGTTCTCTAAATTTGGTCTAAAATTTTGAATTTGTCGTGAAATTTGGTCATAAAATATAATTCTACAATGCTGATATGTCAAATAATTGTATAGTTCTCTAAAAAAGCTTCATAGATTAAGAACATATTTCTGGAACATTAATTAAGCTTTTATTCAAATCAAAGAGAAATATTGTTTCTGTTCCTTAGAAATTTGAACAGACATCCAAACTGTATTAATAGTTGAATATATAACTGATATATTAATATTATTATATTATTCTACAAAATATATGGATTTTATCTCAATTTAACACATTTTAGTGCTTTCATTGCAAAATGCTACCTTTTAATTTCAAACACTTCATAATTTTCCATGTTACCACAACTTTAAGGCTCAGAACAAAATTGACTGGCAAATATGCTGTAATCTATGACCCTGTTTATCAGCATTTTCTTTTTTACCTTATTTTCAAATTTCTGCATCAATACTTGAAAATTACTAACTTAAAAATATCAGCCACATCAAACATCAAAAATAAAACATAACTTTTTGAGAAACTGATTTCAAATTTACGATTCATATCCATACATTTGGCAAAATAATATAACAATCTCTGAGAGCAGAACAATATCAATAAAAATAAAGCTTCAAAATAATGAAATAAAAGAAAAAATAATATAAAAAGCATTACATCAAAAAAGAACTAGGGTAATATATTGGTACGATTTTTTGTATAAAAGTACAGTACTTAGCTACGAGAAGATGACCACAAATTTGAGAAACGTGTGAATTTGCTTTAACATTAATATAAAATTTTAAGGTGTCTCCAAAGAAGCTGAGAAATTGTCAAAATTTAGTAATTTTAATATCTAAATGGTACATGAAGTGTTCAAATAAGTATCAATGTAAAAAATCCATCAGGAAATCTTCCATATTGAAAATCAATTGAAAACTTTGTAGTTATAATCATGCGTCAGTTGATCGAAAATTGAGACATGCAATATCCAAATCTTGTTTATTTCAATTGTGGGGGATTACAGCTAAAGTCTACAAAATTCTTAGCTAAATTAAATTGTTTCAGCGACAACATTAAGTCAAATTATCACAAAAAAATGTACTAAATTTGCATATGCATATAAATCTAGGTAAGCTATGAACAACATCTAGCAAAGCTTAATGTGCATTGTTAAATCATTCCAACAGACATCTAAATTAAGTTAAAAGCACACAACAAGATGATGACATTTTTATGAATATTATGCAGTTAGTTTTTGAAGTGTTATGGTTTTGTTTTTAAGTATTAAAAGGAGGGTGCATTCATTTAAAACCAGGTTGGTTACTGTTTGTCATCAAAAAATAACCTTATTTATTTTGTAAATGGACTCTTCTCAACATGCATAACAAACAACTTTTCAGGCTTAGTACAACTTTACATGTTTCAAGATGCACATGTGGAAGAGTTCATTTAAATTGAAGGGAAGTCAAGTATCCAACCAAGATTTAATGAAGAAATTTTTCAGGATGATTTAGAAAAGGGTGCAATGAAAACACTCATTCATTCATCTTTCACTCATTCATTCATTCTGGGCTATTGTCATTCAGAGTTTGGACTTTCAGGGGAGAATTAAATTCAATTTTTTAAAATCGAAGGGGTGGGAGAGTCAACTTACAAGGAAAATCAAGTTTGAGAAAAGTTATAATTACGATGCAATCAGATATTTGGTTTCATGTTGACATTTCAATTGCAGAGTGGTGTTAAGTCATTTTGAGCATTCTCATTTGATTGGCAAGATGCAACCAAGAAATGGAAGCAGCCATGTGGGTGTATAAATGAATGTGAATGGAGGGCATTCATATACAGTATTCAGAAATAATTATACAGCCATGCAACCTTCTTAATTTTAGCAAATGATAAATTTAGCAACTCATAAAATGAAATTAAAAATGATATTGCTGCTAATGAAAAGTTGCTTAATTTCAAGCTTAAAGCTTTAGTAAAAGCTTGATTTTCCAAGTAATGTTATTTCAAAATCCTACTTTTTACTAGTACTTTAGTTTTGTGACATTATAGTGTTAAATTTCTCAAAATCCACTAAATCTACCTTTTCCATTAATTAGAGATCTACTCTACTTAAAGTAATCATTTTTTCGTGAAAAAAATTGATGACATTTGTGAACAATAATTCCAGAAAAGTGTTTTCAAACTTCATTTCATGATTATCTTTTATAAATCTAACTAACAATATAATTTACAAATCCTTGAATGTAATTAATCTTTAAATAAAAGCTGAAATAAGAAAAGAAAACACAATTCTGGAACCTCAAACCAATAAACCATTCAGTAAATATCAATGTTGGTCACATGACTTCCTTATAAGGAAATCAAGAAAAATGACATTCACTGATTGGTCAATCAACTTACCAAATTCAGCTTCCTCATCCCTCTTCAAAGGTTGTGTGACGATGTCTTGACTTTTGTTATCGGAGGATATATTTGCCTCTCGTAACGCCTCATTCACTGTAGTAAAGGAGGAACCTAAAGTTCAAGGTTAAAGCACAAAATTCAAGGTTAGTGTTTCAGTAACAACGTGCAAATAAAACATCAACTACATGCAGACATTTTGCTAAAAACAGAATTGTAAGATATGTAATTGTTTAATACTAATAATGACGACATAGATATATTCTCTTTTTAAATGGGTTGGAATTTTGTACTTTCCAAAGTGTCTTAATAATGAAAATTCTTTCGAGCAAGATAATTCCATTAATCAAAATCTTGTTAAAAGTATGGCAAAAACGTAAGTAAAAGATGTATAGCTGTGAACTCCTCCAAAGAGAAGTACCATCAGGTGTTTTCAAAACAGGTAATAAATGCTGTTAATATCTATTCTGAATCAAGTTATTTTCCCTCTAGTGTTCAAGATGTAATAGCAAGAATTGCAAGAATATGTAGCTTAGTTTGAGAAAGTTTTAGCAAAATGTCAAAATATATCAAATCAACAATCAACATAAAACAGGAAAAAACAAAATCAAATCAAAGTGAAAAATCAAAACAAAATTTGTTGAAATAAAAAACAAATAAATAAATGAGCTTCAACATAATTATATATAATACAAATCAACTTATCTGAAAAAAAAACCAAACCTTCCCCAACCCCCACAAAACAATTCAAAATAAAATTTCATGCAATTTGAACAACAGTGAATTAGTGATTAGCTTTGAAGCAACACACAAATTTTACAAAATTTCTACAATTCAA